CATTCTTTCTGCTACACCTTGCTGCTGATGGGCGTAGGGAAGGGAGATGAGCTGCTTGATTCCCCTTTCCGCCAGGTACTGCTTGAATCGCTGAGAGGTGTATTCTCCTCCTCTGTCTGACTGGAAGCTTTTCAGTTGCACGCCCGATTCTCTCTCTGCTACTGGTAGCCAGGCAACGAAGGCTGCAAATGCCATGTCGCGGCTAGGGAGGTTTAGGTGCCAGACGTAACGGGTGGCGGCGTCGATGAAGGTGATCGTGTAGTTGTATGTTACTTGTCCTGGTTCCTGATTGAACAGGATGTCGCTATACACCTTCTCGAGTGGTGCGTACGCGGGAGCGCTCGGGTTGTGATGAGGCGCGAACGGTCGATGTGGTAAGTCACCTTCAGGGCAGGTGAAGCACGTTCCGCGTACTCGTTGAAGTTCCCGTTCGTCGGTCAGTAGGAGTGAGTCCTTGTCGAGTACTCCTGCTCTTATTGTATTGTTTAATACTGTGTTGCTTGGATGTCCCATCCTTGCGTGCCAGGTGCTTTCGTCGGCGCGATGTCCGGGTGATCGTCGGTACATGTCGGAGTTGGAGTAGAAGTTGGCGGTGAAGTTGGCGCTACGATGAACTTCTCGTGGTGCTGGGTGTAGTTGTTGCGCGGATGTTGGTGGTTTGTCGTCGATGAGGAGCGGTGTCGTTGAAGGACCAGCGATTGGTGTTGACGTTCTTGCTGCTGCTGTTGATGGTTCTGCTGCTGCCGATGTTGTCTCTGCTGCTGCCGATGTTGTCTTTGCTGCTGCCGATGTTGTCTCTGCTGCTGCCGATGTTGTCTCTGCTGCTGCCGATGTTATCTGAATTGTTGCTAACGCCCTTGTTCTTTCTGCTTCAGGGATGGTGTGTGAATACCAGAAGCCTTCTGGACTGAAGTCTGGATCAAGGTCTGGAGGGTGTGTCCAGTTGGTGAAGTTGACGATGGCGTCGCTGTCGGCGGTGCCAAGGCCAGGAACGAAATCAAGAACGAAGACGTTGTTCTTGAGGACCGCCTTGCCGATGTAGAGTCCTCCTCTCCCGTGATACAGCTTGAATTCTTGGGTGGTGCTGTCTGCTTTGAGGTGAATCCCCTTCGCCATTAGCTGACTGACACTCAATAAGTTGTAGCCGAGTCCCTCCGCGATTAGTACTTTTGACATCTGCAGTATAACGCTTGTTTCCCTTGACTGAAGTTGAACTACGCCTTGTCGTCGTGTTCGCAGGTTCTGATTGTTGGCGACTGTGATGACAACTTCGCGTTGAAGTTGGTGTTCTCGTTGAACGAAGCGTCCCGAGGAGCACATGTGCTGTCCGCAGCAACTGTCCAGGAACCATGTGTCCCTTCCGGATGGTTCGCTTTGGGCGATGGCGGCGTATGTCGGGTTCGGTTGAAGTGACTCGCGGCGGGGTGTGGTTTCGTCGAGTTGTTCTTCCGGTGAGTAGTGTGGTGGTGACTCGGTGATGCAGGAGTCTGTCAGCTTTGTCGTGCAGCTGACGATGTTTCTTGCTCCTTGTGCAGGTTGTCCTTTTGAGATCGTTGAAGCTTGAATCTGAGTCGTGGGATTTACTTGCGTTGAGGCGATTTGGTTGCTTGAAGGTCGAAGTTGCCGTTGTGGGGTTGTTGACTGTTGACGATTCGGGCAGTGTGTACGCGGGTGTCCTGAAGTTTTGCAGATGTGGCAAAACGGAGGTACTGGCTTCGGTTGCTGCTGCCGGTTGTTGTTGTTGTTGTTGTTGTAGCGTCGCTGGGTGTGGAACGCGAATTCCGGTGCTGATGTCTTCTTTCTGTGTCGTTCTTCTTGCAGGTCCATGTCTTGCTGCTCGGCGTGGATTTCGACGCAGAGCGCTGCTTTGGAGATTCTTCCGTGAGCTCGGAGGATGGCCTTTGTGGCGCGCCATTGAGGACCGAGGCCGCCGATGATGACTGTCACGAAGGCGTCTTCAGAAATCGACCCTCCGCATCGAAGAAGCTTGTCGCGCAACTCACGACATCGACTGATATACGCCATTCATTTCTCCCCTGGTTTCATTTCAACCGTTGTCAGTTGCGCCATTTACCGACTTTGACTTACGCTGTCTGTTGCTTGATATAGGCTCTTCAGGTGGTTGTACGCGAGCTCCGCGGAGTTGCCGTAACCTCGGTAAGTCCTTATGTTCTTTGTTGAGTCGGGGTGATGTTCCTCAGTAGGATCGTATACGCCATCATTGACTGATAGGTGTACTGCTGCTTCTCGTACTGTGTGCCGTTTGTTGGGTATGGCAGAGACCCGTCGAAGAACCCGAGTATCTGCGCGCCTTCCATCATCAGCTCGAACTCGAACGACCAGGTGAAGAAGTCCTTTCCATCGAAGGGTCTTGACGTCTGCATCTTCAGAACGTGAGCGAACTGCGACTGAACTTGCAATGCGTCCAGTGGTTTTTCTTGTCCAGGTGAGGGCTGTGGGTGTGGCATGAAGCTGATGGACCTGCGCTCGTACGGAGCAAAGGTAGGCTGCTGTTGTTGATTTCCTCGTGCATATGATGAGCCGTTGAGACTCATGGGTGTTGCTCCTTTGTTGTTGCTGTGGTGTGACTGCGCAGGCGCCGATTGCTGGTGTTGCTCGTAGAAGGACATGAAGGAGAAAAACTTCTCCATCATGCTCTGGTCGAAGTCTGCAGGTTGATTCGCGGGAGTCTCGGTAGATGTTGCTCTGGGTCTTGTTGCCGTGCCCTCCTCTGTCTGTAGGCCAGAGGCAGGAGGTGGAGTAGGAGTAGTTCCCTGGGAGCCGTTGGAGTTGCTCCTTTCTTTTTGTGTAGCCATGCTGATTGGTACTGTTGGTATAGAAGTTGAATTCCCCCTGATAGCTCTCATACCATGTTGGGTTGAAAAAGACCTTAGGATCTTTGCAGGGGTGAACTCTGGGTAGAGTTGGTGTAGTAGCGGAAGCGTTAATAAGAAGTTGTGAACCACCTTGCGCTAGTATGTGAGGGCAAAGTAAGTTGATTAAAACAAAGAGATACAAGATTATATAAGAGTACAAGGAATACAAAGAGATACGGTTGTAACTGTTTTACTTGTTGCTGTTGCGGTTCGATACAGTGATGACTCGGGCAACTGCTCTGTAGCGAGTCAGTTGTGTGTCCTTGCTGTCGCGCTGTACTTGTCAGGTCAAAGGTTGCTGACCTTTGACTTTCGCGTAACCTCCAGCAGTTACTTCAACCTCCGAGGGTTGACTTGCTGGTGCCTCGATATGCTTTGCTTCGCTTGTGCCTTAGTGTTTCGACACGATAGAGGCGCTTAGGACCGATTGTTTCCAACAAGAATGTGATATTTGTCTAGCCTACAGTGGGGTACTCTACAGCGAGTATAGCCCAAATCAGGGTTTCCTAAATGTACTCAACTGCCTGCTAGTGCAAACCCTCTTTCCTTTTCTAAACTTCTGCTTGCTATCTTTGACATGCTATCAGAGCAAGATCGCTCCTGGCCTGTGGGCCCACCTGCTTCCGCTGCTGTCCTACCTGTCGCGTGCCTCGGGCGCGTGACGTCTTCTGCCTGCCGCGCGCCCTGCGCGCGTGGCGTGTTTTCTGCCTGCCACGCGCTCGGGGCATGAGGCGGTTTCCTGCCCGCCGCGCGCCCCGGGCGCGCGCCGCGGTTTCGTCGCCCGACGCGGCACCCCGGGGGTCCGCGCGCTGTCCCGTCCCGTCGCCCGATGCGGCGCCCCGGGGGCCCGAGCGCTGTCCCCTCCCGTCGTCTGCCGCGGCGTCACGGGGGCCCGCGCGCCGCCCCTCCTCCCGTCGCCCGTCGAAGCGCCCCGGGGGCCCGCGCGCCGTCCTGCCCGTCGCCCGCCGCGGCGCTCTGGGGCCCCGCGCGTCGCCGCCCCCCCTCCCGTCGCCCGACGAAGCGCCGCGGGGCCCGCGCGCCACCCTGCCTGTCGCCCGCCGCGGCGCCCTAGGGGGCCCGCGCGTCGCCCTTCCCTCCCGTCGCCCGTTGCGGCGCCCTGGGGGCCTGCGCGCCGCCCTACCCGTCGCCCGTCGCAGCGCCCCATGGACCCGCGCGCCGCCCCAGCTGCTGCCCGCGTATCTGCCCCCCGTCGCACACGCGCCGCCTGTGTTTGGGGTATGCGGTGGCAGGTATGGGGGTGGCGGGTGTGTGAGCCATCCCCTGCTCCTCCTCCTCCGTCTCCCACTACTGCAGCTGCCGCTGAGGGGGGTGGGTGTGTGGGAGCCGAGGGAGTGGCGCTAGGGGGGTGTCGTGAGAGTGGAGCTAGGGGTGCAGTAAGGGGTGTGTGAAAGGGGGTCTGCGACAGTGGGGGAGGTTGAGCGGAGGCAGCCGTCGTGTCGCCAGCAGCGCCAGTAGTCCGAGGCTCTGATGCGGTAGCCCAGCGAGCCTGCTGCGCCAGTCGCCCGTGGGTCCGTTGCTCCTGCCGATCGTCTTAGCCGTGGAGCCAGTTACTACAGTAGTCCGGGGCGCTGCTCCGATAGCCACTCCATGTGCGCGGCTCCTGTTGCCCGTGTGTCTGCGGCTTCACCCGTCGCCTCCTATCTCCACTCCTCTCATAGTCGCTCCTCCTCCTCACTTGCCTCTAGCTTTGCTTGTACTTGTGAACCTGCTCTATGACTGCTTGCTGTGCTGATTATACTTCACTTTGACTATGGGGGTGTGTCAGAATGTGATATTTGTCTAGCCTGCAGTGGGGTACTCTATAGTGAGTATAGCCCAAATTAGGGTTTCCTATATGTACTCAACTGCCTGCTAGTGCAAACCATCTTTCCTGTTCTAAACTTCTGCTTGCTATCTTTGACAGCGTGAAGGTACCAGGGAGCCTGAACTGGTCATTCTCAAGGTTCATTGCTTGTGGTGCGTTTCAGAGAATCCTGCAACTATTTATACAGGCATTGGTGGAGGGAGAAACACAAGATCGGGGAGGAGCTTCCAGTGCTCAGCTTTTACACGCGGTGGTTTTCCACAGCTTCTACCCGCTTCTACAACTATCATCATCACACCATGGCTCCTCCTGAAGGGACTCCTGCGGTGCACGCTGCGGCTGCTGCTTTTCACGGGAAGAAGCCTGCTGATGCGTGTCCTGAGCCAGTTACGCCGAAGACGTTGTTCAACGGTGTGGCGGCTCCTTGTGGCAAAGAAGAGATTAAGGTGTTGACGGCTCGCACCTCGGCACTACGCATCAATGACCAGCCAGCAGGGTGCACTGCGAACGTCAGCAATAACGGCAAAAAGGCAGCGGGGAAGTCAGCTTGCCGGAGTGTGCTGGATAAAGGGAAGACCAAGACGCAAGATGTGGAGGAGGACGGCGGTTACCTCAGTGACGATCCTGACGAGTGCCAGGACCCGCTGGTGCTGAATGAGATCGCGGAGCAAGCTGGGGTAGCCATTACGCTGCTTGTCCCCCTTGCCTGGAGCAAGGAGATTCCGCGTGTCATCGGCACATGAAGCACCTGCTGAGGATGTGAGGGAAGCGCTTGTCAGAGAACATGGGGACAACGATGAGGTGTCAGCACCTCACGGCGACGTGTCTCTCAAAGCAACACTTCGGTCGCATTGAGGTGGTTTTCATGCAAGAGGCCTACGCGTTGTTCATGCGGAGCAAGGAGATCGAGCATTACATGGTGAATGATAAGAAACTCACGCTTGGGTGGCAGCATCCAGAAAACAAGGAGTACCTGAGGGAGCGTGCCGCTCACCCAGAGGCGATAAAGGTCCTGTAAGGGGGTGCCGGTGGTGATCTCACCGGTGATGATTCGCAAGAACCCGGTGACTGCGATGTTGCTGAAGCGTGGTCGCACATCGTTCCTGGATGGGTCTGCTTTCCACCGCGTGCTGGATTCGGTTTCGGGGTCGGACACTGACAAGATTAAGGGCCTGGTTTTCAGGCACCCGGGAGATAAGTATAAGTGGTGGCATAAGGTCTCCGACAGTGTCCACGGAATCGAGCTGCTGGTGTCTTTTCCTGCTCTCACTTGTGATTTCTGCAACAGAATGCATATGCCGTGCTTTCATGATGACTACGTGAAGGAGAGACAGAACAACATCGGAAACTGGAATCTGACGCTGCAGCGCACCCATGAGATAAACGGTAATGGACCCCGCTCTCACCTTGTTTTTTAGGTGGTCGCAGCAGCAAACCTCCCGGCTCACCTCTGTATCGTCCCCCCCCCACGCAGCTGCTTCCATGAAGCTGTCATCAGCAATGAAGACTCTGCTAGCAGACCTGGCGATGGCTTTCATCTCCACGGGAGGGGTGCGAGAGGAGTGGCCGTGTGCACAGGAGGACTGCGGGAAGGCCCATGATACCAGCTTCGAGAAGGCGGTGGAGCATGTGCAGTCAGTCCGCCACGGCACCGGCCTACTCAAGGCGGGAGCAACGAGGGGAAGCAGAACCTGGGGTATGTTAAGAAGGAGTTCGGATTGTGACCAGTGGCCCAGCGGTGCGGTGGAGACCGAGGGTGTCGGCTCTAGCTGCGGTTGTTTCAGGATCTGCAAGAGAAGGAGAAGCAATTGTAACATCGGCATGAGTTAGTATGTGCTGTATCTTTCTAAAAGCAAGGGTGCACATTCCTAGGGGTGGTTTTTGGGTGTATTGTCAGTGCACATCCTTTGGCGCTTGCTGATTTGAGGGCGAATTGTGCAGGGTACGTAAAGCTGGTGCGAGGAATTGAAACAAGGCAGGCGATACAAACCAATTTCGCATGAAAGGTTGGGTTGGGGGAACACTGAGAAGAATCGAGAATGAATGAACTATGAATGAACTGAGTACAAGTACTAACCCTAATTGGGTTGTACCCCTTATGGGCTACCCCACTATAGCCTACACAATAAGCACAAGCTATATGTTCTGACACACCCCCATAGGCAAAGTGGGGGAGAACGAGGGGTCACAAGACCAGTCAAGCAAAGCAAAGCAAATCAAGCTCAGGGTGGATCACTAAGTCACCACACATTCCGAGCACAAGTTCAAGGCCACAAGGCCAGTTCACATGCAGGAGTACATATATATATAGGACTAGACAAGCAAGAGCAGGTGTATATATATGCAATAGTACAAGCAAGGTCAAGAGGTGAGCAAGTGAGGCAAGACAGGCACAAGACCCAGCTGAGTGCAGAAGCGCTGATGATCACAAGGCGCAAGTGCCTTGGTGAAGACATCAGCAGTGTTGGCCTCAGAGGCCACGTACGCAAGCCGCAACTGACCACGCTGCTGTAGTTCACGAGCAAGAAAGTAGCGAAGAGCAATGTGCTTTGTTCTGTGCTCCAGTCTCTGCTCTCGACACAAGGCCAGCATGGCCTTGTTGTCTACGTACAGGACTGGAGGAGAACGAGGCGACTCTCCAAGGTCGGTCAGCAGGTAGGTGAGCCAGCGAAGCTCCTGTGCAGCCATGGCCTCGGCGTAGATCTCAGCCTCACAACTGGAGCCGAGAACAGAAGACGAGCGAGTAGCCCGCCACGAGACAGAGCCGGAACCAAGGCTGAAGGTGTAGCCCTGTGACGACCGCTGCGTAGCCTGGTCGTCAGCCCAAGAAGCGTCCGCGTGCCCAGTGAGGACCACTGGACTCCGCCCTCCAAGCACTAGCCCCATGCCTGACGTACTGCACAAGTAGCGCAACACCCTCTTCGCTGCAGCCATGTGCTCTGGTCGGTGTCTACCAGGAGCAACAAAGCGTGCGAGAATGCTAAGAGGGTATGCAAGGTCAGGTCGTGTGCAGGTCATCAGGTACATGAGGCAGCCAACAAGCTCTGGATACGGGCCACTCGACTCTACAGACTCATCCGAAGGCAGAGCTGAGAGCGAGAGGCGAGTAGGCAGAGGAGTGGCCTGAGGCGAGGAGTACGTGAAGCCGAAGCGCTGAAGGACCTGCTGCACCATGTGTGACTAAGTCAGGGTAATGGTGCGACGACCTCTGTCCCGGGTGATCTGCAAGCCAAGGTAGCTGCGCAGTTCACCCAGGTCAGTGCACGTGTGTCTCTCCTGCAGCTCGGACTTCACGTAGGCGAGTCCAGTAGTGTTAGCTGTGGCAAATACCAAGTCGTCGACGTACACGAGGATGTAGAACGGCGGCAGAGAAGTGTCGGTGCGCAGAAACATCGACGGGTCGGCAGTAGAAGGAGCAAACCCAAGAGCCGCAAGCAAAGTCCTCAGTGTGTCGTGCGACTCATGTGGCGCCTGGCGGAGACCGTAGACTGGACGCCGGAGACTCCACTGGGTACCAAGAGGGAAAGACCCAGTGAAGCCACGTGGGCGGCGCAGCCAGATCTGCTCGTGCAGGCTGCCCTGCAAGAAAGCTGTGCTGAAGTCAAGAGAGTGCAGCTCGTAGTCACGGTGAGCAGCAACGTGCAGTAGTACCCGAAGAGTGGTCATCTTTGGGGTGGGAGAGAAGGTCTGAAAGTAGTCAACTCCCTGCCGCTGACTGAAGCCACGAGCCACGTAACGCGCCTTGAAGACAGGCGGAGAACCCGGCGGCCGCTTCACCCTGAAGCTCCACATGCCACTGACGATGTTCGCCCCAGGAGGGGGGACAGCGTCAACGTAGGTGCCTGTGGACTTCCAGGAAGCCATCTCTGCATCCTTAGCTGCCTGCCACTGAGAGGAGTAGGGACCCTCTATCGCCTTCCGCGTAAAAGCGCGGAGTCGGGATGTCAAGTGCATCCGGGTCTCCCTCAGGGGTAAGCAGTACGGACACGAGATGAGGTGAAGCAGCGGCCAAGCACTGGAACTCCTCATGCCTGTCCTCAAGGACGTCCGTGCCAAGGGCACACTCACCCCCGACGGACGGAGGACAGAGAGACTCAGACTCAGCAACAAGACTAGCAGCGTAGTCTAGGCGACAGCGAGCAGCAAAGTCGACGAGCTAAGCAACTAGGGCAGACGCAGCAGTGGACTCGAAAGAAGGGTTAGTGACGACAATAGCCAGGAGACGCGTGACAGTAGGACTGGCAGCACGAAGAGAGTCCGACTCCGGGTCGGCAAAAGCAGGAAGAGAGGACTCAGGAGGACAAGGCAAAGGGGCACGCAGAGGAGCAGTGGACGGACGCAGAGACATCCTATGCGTGCTAGGGACAGGAGGAGGACGCTGACGCGAACCATGACCACCAGCACGAGCAGCACGGACAGGCGACGCAGGGCGAGATGCAGGCTCACGACGCTCAGTAAGACCTCCAGTAGGACCAGTGTAGGGAGAAGGAGCAGGCAAAGGGGAGGTAGGCTGCAACTGTAACTGTGACGGGACTGGCTGTGGACACTCTAAAGAAAGAGGAGGACCAGTAGAAGGCGGAAGACCAAGAACTTGCTGCAGGAGTGGAACGAAGTACGGTCGAGGCCACGCGGCGATGCCACTCACAGCAGGTACAGCACTAGTACCCCCAGCAGGAGCACCCGCTCCAGCTGCACCTCCAGCAGCGCGAGAACCTCCAGCAGTACCAAGAGTACCCGCAGCAGGACCGCCAGCAGTAGTCTCAGCTCCAACACCCTCAGCAGCACCAGCTCCAGTCAAACCCGCAGGCCCAGCAGCTCTTGTACTCCCAGTACGAGTACCTCCGGTACCCGCGACAGCAGCACCCTCAGTAGCCGAAGAACCTCCAGCACCAGCAGCACGCCTCCAGCGCCGGGCAAACCACTCGCGCAGCTCCCGTGGAGAGAGTGGCTCCCGCAGAGACGAAGCACCCGGAGAACCTCCAAGTGGAGCACCTCCAAGCTCAGCACCCCCAGGCTCAGCACACCCAGGCTCAGCACCCCCAGGCTCAGCACCCCCAGGCTCAGCACCCCCAGGCGCAGCACCCCCAGGCTCAGTACCCCCAGGCTCAGCACCCCCTGTCTCAGCACCCCCAGGCTTAGCACCCCCAGGCTCAGCACCCCCAGTGTCAGCACCCCCAGGCTCAGCACCCTCAGCAGCACCAGAGTCACCAGTGACCTCGACAGGCTCGACTGCGTCTACCTGGGACACACCTGAAGGGGCAGGACCCTGAGGGGGGAGGGGGTCTACCGGAGGGGGACCTGGTACAAGGAAGAGTGGCGGCGGGGGGAGGGACGGAGTGCGGTAGGGGAAGAGGCGGTAGTAGGGGACCGACTCGTCAAATGTGACGTCCTGGGAGGACAGAACACGGCGAGAGGTAGGGTGGTAGAACTGCCACCCAGGCGCGTCAGGGGGGAACCCCAGGAAGACGCAAGGAGCAGCACGAGGGGACAGCTTGTCCGCAGACAAGTCGCGGACAAACGCCCGAGATCCCCAGACCCAGAACGCCGACGCATCGCCAACCTTCCCCGTCCACAGCAAGGCTGGGAAGGTCTCCGGCCTGGAGACCCTGGGGTGTAGGTTGAGCTGATGCGCTGCGTACTGTCAGAATATATTTGCTGTCTAGCCTGCAGTGGGGTACTTTGTAATGAGTACAACCCGATTTAGGGCATTGTACTTGTATCCCAACTCTTGCTAGTGAAACCTCTTCTCTTTCAAAAAAAAAATCTCTCGATACTTTCCTAACCCTCTCGAACTCGATCACCTGGGCACCTACACTATGGCTTCTAAGCCTACCCTTGCTTAAGATTCTAAGATGGTATTAGAGCTTAACGCTCCTGGCCTGTGGGCCCACTCGATTCCGCTGCCCTATTGTGTGTCGTGCGCCCCGTGGCGCACGACCACCTTTTTTTCTTCCCGCCACGCGCTCGGGGCGCGTGGCGGTTTTCTGCCCGCCGTGCGCCCCGAAGCGCGCGGCGGGTACCTACCTCGTCGCGGCGTCTTGGGAGCCCGCGCGCTGGCCCCGACCAGCAGCAGCCCCTGGGGCCGCCCCAGTAGCAGCAGCCCCGGGAGTTGCCGCCCCAGCAGCTGCTGCCTCTGGAGCGGCCACCCCAGCAGCAGCAGCTTGTGGAGCAGCCGCCCCACCAGCAGCCCTGGGAGCAGCCGCCCCGACAGCAGCTGCCTCTGGAGCGGCCACCCCAGCAGCAGTTGCCTCTGGAGCGGCCACCCCAGCAGCAGCAGCCCCTGGAGCCGCCCCAGCAGCAACTCCCTCTGGAGCGGCCACCCCAGTAGCAGCAGCCCCTGGAGCCGCCCCAGCAGCAGCAGCCCAGGGAGCAGCCGCCCCAGACGCAGCCCCTGGAGGAGCCACCGCAGCAGCAGCAGCCCCGGGAGCAGCAGCCCCTGGAGCAGCAGCAGCAGCGGTAGCCCTGGGAGCAGCCGCCCCAGCAGCAGCCCCTGGAGCCGCCCCAGCAGCAGCAGCCCCGGGAGCAGCTGCCCCAGCAGCAGCAGCCCCGGGACCAGCCGCCCCAACCGCAGCCACTGGAGCAGCCGCCCCAGCAGCAGCCGCCTCTGGGGCGGCCACCCAAGCTGCAGCAGCCCCTGGAGCAGCAGCAGCCGCCCCAGCAGCAGCCCCTGGAGGAGCCACCGCAGCAGCAGCAGCAGCTCCAGGAGCAGCCGCCCCAGCATCAGCCCCTGGAGCCGCCCCAGCAGCAGCCCCTGGAGCAGCAGCCCCAGCAGCAGCAGCCACTGGAGCAGCCGCACCAACAGCAGCCGCCCCTGGCCCCTGCAGC